ACTCTGAAAAATATATGTATGTAAATTTCTGCTATATATGCTGTGTATAATCCCTTTGCTTTCAATGAGAATTTTCTATTTAACTTTAATGTACTTTGAAGGTCTTCGCTTTGCTGTGCTTAAGTCAAAACATCAAAATGTAATTGCCAAATTATAGTAGTCAAACACTAGTAGCATATAATACAACCTCTGATAAATACAAGACTAGCATTAAATGTCAAATCTCTCTTTTAAAAAGATGAGTTGCTTGCTCTATTTTTTTAACATTTCCAGATTAGCTATCAACTGCATGGAATTGGAATTTCAAGTACTTTTAATAGTAAGGTGGTCTCAAAAACATTCATTTTTGCATTTATCATGCAAAGCCTGGGAAAGAAGTAAGATTCACCACCCCCTGCCACATGCATGTGAAGAAAACACTTCCACATATACATTCTGGGGGAAGGACACCCCCCCAATAGCCCTTCGTGCTGCTCCAGGAACATCTTGGGTAGAAGCCTTTTGGGGGGGGGGATACGTGTAACTAATAAAAGGGGGTCCTTAAAAGTCTCCATGTGCAAGTAGGGGTACTCAGGCTGATCAAGACTGCAGCCATAATATTTTACTTCCCACTAATAGGAAAGGAAAACTTCAAAATACAGATTCCCCCATATCATGGAATATCCAACCTTTGGTGGAATAGAACCATCAGCACTTTTCTAGCACTGGAAGTATATCAATGACCAGATCAGTAATTCTGAATTACTTATAAAATAACATAACTATAATATAGTAGAGTCAAAATATGATGTTCTGTTTTTTCTCATTGGTATAAGACTGTAAATCATTAATAATGCTAATTATTGTAGTGGTTGTCTATGCACATATTTCCAACAGGAGTAGCTGAGTTTTACAAGTGATTTCCATGCAAGTCACAGCTTGTCACCTGACTTATTCTTGCCACATTATTAAGTGCTTCTGATATATATTTATCTCATTTATTAATTTAAGATAAAGAGCCAGAAGAATACATGGCATGCGGAACATGTCAGCTCTGAAAACCCCTGCAGGCCATGAGGACATTGATACTTCAGCTTTGGTTGGATGCTATAAAACTGAGTTATTGCCATCTTAACGCATAAGGGTGCACAAGTGAAAGAGTCTATGTTGTGCAACAATGGGCATACATTAAAAGTGGTGTCATAATGATGAGCTATTACAGACTAAGGTGTGAACCAAGATCCTTCAGATCTCACATATTCTATGAACTCAGAAGGTGGCCTCAGGCAAGCCACTCCCTTTCAACCTCAGTTCCCATTGGCAATATAGAGATAATACTACCAACTCATGTTATGTGGTTATCATAAGCATAGCTAAGATAAAGTACATTAAGCATTCTGAACATGCTACAGCACTATATAAACACCATTATAATCATTTAAATAATAGCTTAAATTACTCCCTATGATTTGCATGTGACTTACTAAGAAATTAAAATAGTATTAGGATTGCAGCCTTAAAAGTTTCCTACTTGTAGCTTTCATTCCAACCCTAGAAATAATGCTGATATCTTCCTTGAAGGGAAAAAATGTTTTAAAATTAACCAATACCACACTTTAGCATTTATTTCACTGCTGTATTACTTCTTCTAATCCTCTGCATCCTTGTCCTAAGTTACCTCTTCCAGGGTCACCAGCGACAACGGATGCTGTTATACAAAAGGAGGACAACATGCTTTGCATTCTCAAATCTTTCCAGCTGGCAGGCTCCAGTTGCTACAAGGAAAGGATCTCCTTATTCTGTCACTTAAGTGTAACTAGCGTTCAGTGGAGACTAAAATTGCTCATGTATACATGGAGTACACTCAAATAAACAATGTGGCTCAAGACCAACATTGTTATGTATTTCCAGGATTTATAAAGATTGGTCCTCAAGGATTACAAAATAGTAAGTTATATATGAAAGAAGGTGTTCTGTAAGGATATTTTTACATCCAGAGTATTTTTAAATGCTTTTTTAAAAAATAAAGAAGACATTGTGTGTTTCCATAAACAAAAGAATAGAAGATTTAAAGATCTACTTATGTTAATCTAAAAACAGCCTATCCCTGCCATCTTTTTCCACTACTCCTACCACGATTACCGGTAATATGTAAAAATCAGAAGCTCTACAATCTTTAGCTACCAAATTATGCTTATTACAACCCTAACATGAAGTCTTTAAAACAGTAAACTGTACAAGAAATTTACAGTCAGATACAGTAAGGAATAAGTATGATATTCTTGGCTTTAACTAAACACAAACATGCAACTATAAACCATTCTATAAACGCTTAACCATTCTGCTGCCACACATTTTCATTCTGACATGCATTTTAAAGAAAAGGCAAGTCACAAAGAATTTTAGAAGATCACTCAGAACTAAACTGATTGGGTAGCCATCATGCACCCTAAAAGCTGGAAAAACAATAACCACACAACAGTGTAAATAAAATGTGCAACTTATTAACAAAATGTGCTATCCTTTGCTATACTACCCTTTGCATATAGGGTACATCTTTAAGCACGTTACAAATACATGATAGCATTTCCAGGAAAACATTCTTCCCACCTTCAGTTTTGGAAACTATTACAAAGTGGCTACAACAGAAGAAAAGATGGGTCTGCAGGGCCACTCCATTACCTCTGAGAGACCAGTTTCATTAGGCTCCTCCCTGCCTCAGTTGTCAATTAGCAGCAGCCTTTCCATCAGGCTGCAGCAGAAATATGGGAAGAAGTGTTAATCCAGCTCTGCTGGGAGATCAATTCCAGCAGGCTCTTTCTGACCCATTTCCATTTAAGCTGGTCATCCTAATAACTTTGCAGCCAAGTTTGCTCCCCTCCCTCCCCACCCTCATTTCCGTTTGTGTTATGTCTTTTAGATTGTGAGTCTGTGGGCGGGGATGCCTTGTAATCTTATGCAAGCCAAATGGAGCCACTTTCCCTTGAAAACAGCAAAAATGCTTTAAATACATAAAATAATCACCCTCCTGATCAAACACAATAAGACTGAACAAAATCCAAATCAAGCCCATGTGAATGACTTCAGAATGATGTTTCCTGCTGAACTGCTACAAATATGAGCGAGCTGCTGCAGCCTTCACAAATACTATTCACACCCATCAATGTAACTGTAAATTTAGGTGAAAGCAATGAAAATTCAGATGCTCAGCATGTTTCCGCAAATAATTTTTGTCCCAAATTACTGTCCCTGAGAAATTAATATTAAAAAGCGGAAGACAAGTCATGAGAGCAAAAGCTGTAGCCCTTATTCCCTACATTACATTTCCTGTTTCCCATAATCCCTACAGGAACTGCACTATCCTACAATTTACCTTCAAATACTCTTTGTTAATATATGTACTTGCTTGCCTGCTCTCTCTCTCTCTCTCTCTGTAAATTATATAACCATACACTTCAAACAAACTGAGTATCTGAAATGAAATGAATATTTTCCTTTGGTAGTTGAAAAGTTTTATGTGAGAATAAAGTAAATTTAAAGACTACAGAGGCACATGTACAGAAGTATTAAAATCTTCATGATAGTATTTTATCTTTTGACAGTGTACAGTGTAAGTTCCTAATGAGAGTACTAATTTAAAAATCTGAAGTTACTTCGAGAATCATGAAACAACATTCATTTGTCAAAGAGCTCTCACTGAGAGACTGAAAGATGTACATTCAATGTGATGGAGCCTTACTGTCATATTCACACTGCTAAGTTTATCCTGCTTCACACAGATATTAATCTATTGATTTAAACCTGTTTGGTTCAACTTTAAAAAAAAAATTTACATAAGAGAAACTGCCAAACTTCATTTATACAACCAGGTTAACAATTTCAATCTAGTTTTCTTTTTAAAGGCATCTAGTCAGGGATATGACCTAATATCAAGCTGCAACTGTTTTAAACTGTGCCAGAAACAATACAGAAATGTCTAGTATTCTAATTATTTCAATAATGCTTACTCACAAGTAAGTGGGTATAAAACTGCAGTGTTAAGTAACACTTAGGCTACAATCCTTTACCCACAGAGATCAATGAGACTTACCATACAATAAACTGTTCAAGTTTGGACTGTTAGTACCTAAACTGCCTTAACTATCTGTACACCAAAAATGCAGAAAAAAAGAAAAACCTGCTATGCTTATTTTGATTGCAGGGCACACAATGGCTTTCTTTCAGGGATTTTATTATGAAGATCCTGGTTATTTGATATAACTAGCTTAAACCAAACAGGTTTAAAAATTTTCTAAAAATGTTTCAATCCTCTTGTACTATTTTGGTCAAACATTTTTAAAAATACATGTTTATCTACAGTATGACTTTGACATTTGAAGGTCATACAATAACTGTTCTCATGTGACTTCATCTCTTGTGCTCTAACTACTGTATATTTAGAAGGAAATAAATAACCAGCCTTGTCATGATGCCAGCATTGTTCAGTCACCAATTATCATTTGACTTTCATTAAAAATCCTGAAGTATTACAATACTGTGTTTAGAATGAGAAAATACACATTTTCCTACCCACCAACTTTACATTTTTCCAATGTGTTTTTACAGAGGTCAACAGTAGCTGAGGATACATCTGACCCTTTTGTACTCCCACTTCCCCATTTTTTTTTGCAGATATTGCAAATATTTCAAGTAAGCAACATACAATTTCACTATCTTTTAGCTAAGCAAACGTATACATATATATAATAAGTCATATGGTGTTCCACTGTCACTCATTCTACAGATGTAAACTTCAAATTCAGAGCCTTAAAAGGCCCATCATCAAGACCAGTACTCCCTAGGAGATGTGCACCTGAGATTCCTGATGTAAAATTATGGTTATTCACCAGTTTTGTATTGTAAAATACAAACACAAAATGACTTAGTAGCTGTAAACTCTAGCTATAAACACATGCAATCTTAAAATAAATCATACCAGAATACTAAAAGTGGACAGGAATGTCATGTTTGATCAAACTTACCCCATTCTAGATACTCCAGAATATTCTTCTCTCTCCTCAGGGGTGAATTATTACATTCATCATAAAGGCAGATGAGTATATCCAGCAGCGTTTCCACACTAAAGCATTGCCCATTTGTCTGAGTTGGTCCATCCAAAATAAACTGTTCCAACTGTCTCAAGCGTACCTCTCCAGACATGATTGCTTCAGTTCTTAATGGGCCTCTCCTCAATTATTATTACTGGTTATTTTCGAAAACTCTAACACATCAGAATGTTTTAGTTTCTAAAAAGTGTTTTGAAAAGTCAGTGCTTCTTCAGGGGTGGTGCTGAAGGTACAATGCATCTCAAGAATTCCCACTCTGAGTGCTCTGTCTTGGTCAGCTGTTTCCACACACACACACACACACAATATATACAGGATATTGGAGAAAAATAATTACCCTAAAATCTCTTTTAATACATTTAAAAAGAGAAAATATATATTTTATACATTTAAATAATAATATTAAAAAGAAACCCAACCCAAGACTGAATCCACTCTTCTCTCATATAGATGCGATTTTATTCTTTCTTTCTTTTTTTTTAAAGGTCTCCTCCTTCATTCAAAATTCAGATCATGCAACGTAATCCCGAAACGAATCCTTACTGCATCATTAAAGTGTAAAACCCCCATCCAATTTGCACCGGCGATTCACTTTTCGAGGAAAGAGCAGCAGAGGGAAAGATCGCTGGAGATGGGGAGAGGGGAGGCCCCCGGCGAAAAACAAAATGCACAGGCTTGGGAAGGTCTAGCGATGGAGAATATCCGCTGCTGCTGCCGCCTCCGCCGCCGCCACCTCCTCCTCCACCACCACGGCTTCCACCTCCACCACCTCCACCTCCACCACCCTTTGGAAAATGCATCAGTGGCAATTCTTCAGAGAGCGGGGGGTGGGGAGAAGAGGAGGAGCAGCAGCAGCAGAAGGGCAGGAAAAGTCCCCGGGAAAGGAGCCTTCTTCTTCTTCCCCTCAGGGTCGGGCTCCCTCTTCTCTCTCCCGTCGCACCAGCTCCTCTCTCCGGCTACCCGACCAAGAAAGGTGAAGCCTTCATTTCCTCAGGCCGCCGCTCCTTCTTCCAATATTCGCCCTCCCTGGAAATGCCGGCCAAGGGGTGGCTGAGCGAATAATCCCTAGCAAATCCTTTCCATGTCGCCGCTGCGGAGGAGGAACAGGGTGACTAAGGGGGGCTCCTTCACACACAGCCGGCTTCTCCCCCCCCCCTCCACCCTGCCGCTGTTTTCCCAATCCGGGTGCCGCGTTTAAGGCATCTTCTCAGGGCGACGCGGCGCTGGTGCCGCAGCTTCCCGGCCTCCTCCTCCTCACAACTGCCCGCCCGCCGCCTCCGCCGCCGGTTTCCTTTTCCTCCTCTCGGCCTCCGCTTCTCCCCCGCCCCGCGGCTGCTCCTGACGCCCTCACGCACAAACTGCCGCCGCCGCCGCCGCCGCTACTGAAGTCTCGGGATCCAACATGGCGGCCTCTTCCCCTCACCCCCCCCCCTTCTCTCTCGCTCCCCAGCAACTGAGCCAGCAGCGGAGAGGACAAGCCGCGGCTGTTGGGAACGAGAGAGAGCGAGGGGATAGAAGGGAGGGAGAGAGGGAGAGACGAGCTGGCTTCGGAATGGACGAGCCTGGGAGGGATGCTGCTGCTTGCTGCTGCTGCCGCCGCTTCTCTCGCAGCACGGAATGCAGGGATACAGGCGGACTGAGGGGAGGGGACGGCAAGCGCGGAAACGCCCTGCGGGCTGCTGCAGGACCAGGTTGCTAAGCAGAGCTGGGAGATTGTCTTGCTGCCTCTTGGTCACCTCGCGAAACTGGCCCCCTGCTTTTTCTTGTCTCATGGATCCCTCAAAGGAGGGATCCCCCCCCCATCTGCCTTTCCATCCCCCCCCTCTCTCACACACACATATACAAACACAGTCCCTTAGGGCTATGAACCCCCATTCCTAGTTTGCATTGTATGCTCCCACCTCTTAAAAAGAGGACCCTCCCTGTTTGGGGGCTCTCTCTGTCCCAGAGTATTTAATAGCCCCCTTTTTATTACTTAAAAACGAAAAGGAAAATCTTGGTTTATTTTTTTAGGAAAAGGCACTTGGGTGAGGAGGGCACTCATTATTTCAGAACTACAGCTATTGACTTTTTTTTAACGAATCAGTTGAAAAGGAGAATTAAAAAAATTAGGATGGCCTTGATTAAAGGTGTAATTATACCCATTTCCCCAGGAGAAAGTCCCATTGAATTCAGTGGGACTTTCTGAGTAGACATATTTAGCATTGTGCTGTTAATGTTCGGAAGGTTTCTTTCACACGGTGTCATCCACACAACCTTATTTTCCTTATTCCCTTATTTTCAAAGTGCCCGCAGAGGATCACTACTGAAAATGCAGGGTTGCCAAAGTAACTGCCCCATCACACTGATTTGGCACTTCCATCACACACACTGAAGCTTTTGTTGTAGGTCCTTCCAGCACTTTCCATTTTTAGGTAGTCCTCTTTCAATTGTATGTGTATTTTCTCCCTACTTGCCCACATTCACCCTTACATTTCTTTCTAGATCCTAGTGTCTCTTCATCCCCTGTGTCTGCTGCATATGCATGGACATGGGGGGGGGGAATGAAGCTGCCCCCCCAGTCGAGTTAATAAATAAAAATACTTAACTAACTGACCAATCGCATCACAGACAGCTCGGTTCTGGCCCCCAATACAAATCCTTCCCCCTCCAACATAAATCCTGGCTACTTCCATGTGCATAGGCGCACAGTCTGCAAACACAGTAGTATGGTGGGGACATCATTTTTTAGCATACAGGGAGACAAATGTGTATGAACAAAGGCCAACATTTCTAAACAACTTGCACTTTTAGAATTACTATAATTTCACAACTTCTTGCTGAAACACATTTTTCCATATTTTCTCATCCAGGGCAATAGACTGTCTTTAAAGCCAAAGCTGCAGTTTGGGGAAAAGGCAGGGTTCGTAATAGAAATTGTCTGCAACTTAAATATAAAAAGGGCTAATGGATTTCCATTATGCTAGCATGTCATGCCAAGGTACACAAAGGTATAAATAAAATCAACACATATTAAGCCCATAAAACTTAGTGTTTTATTCCAGATGTCTTGCATGATAATATCACCCCATCGTAAAGCATCATCCCATTTCAAAAGTTCCATGAAAATAATGAACTAACAAATCTAAGTTGTGGGAGATAACATTGGCATGGAAGATTATTTCTACACCCAGTGGAGTTTTGCTTTCCTGCAAAGTTTAAATTTTTTTAATGTTATAAAGATTTATGTTGCTATGAAACAACAAAATGAAACCTTTAAAATGTTTTGGAGGATTTATAAAAGATAGTACAAAAGAGGAATGATGTATTTTAAAAATGAGGAATGGTAAGTTGATATTAATAGCACAATTGGAGACATGTCTACGCAGAACCAAGTTCCATTGAGCTCAATGTGATTTACTCCCAGAGGGTTTCAGCTTAATCCTTGGAAGACAAGTATGGGTTTAAAAATACTTTTTCCCTGAGTCAAGCTTTGCATATTTGTGCAGGGAAAGAAAGAAATGGTTGATGCTCTAAATTTATCTAATGGTATGCATTAATTAAGCACTGGTGCTCTGTTTAAGCCCTAATCTTCAAACAGATTCATTTCAGTAGACATTATCAGTGACAATCATATAATTTAGCCCCTATTTTGCAAATCCCACATCTCCCATTAACATTTACTTGAAAGTCCAAAGAACGTGGTCCCACTAATTTATTTTTATTTTTATTTTTGTCGCCGTTGCAGTTTATTATTTTACATGAGCTGGATCACAACAGATTTTATTATGAGACTCAGCATCCAGTCATATAAACAGCAATAGTCTGAATCTCTTGACTATACTTACTACTTCTAAAGACCATTTCCCAGCTTCCCCACTTCATAATTTGAGATCTCACTCTGTTTAGAATGCAACAGTGTAATGTAAAGCAGAGCTGTTCTCAACTCTAGTTAAAGTAATTGTAGTTGATTAACCATGTGCGTTTTACAGCACAATCTATGTCTACTGAGAAGTCCTTCAGAATTAAATGGTGCTCACTCCCAGGTAAGTAGGGTTACGGTTGCAGCTTTTAGTCAATAACTATTGACTGTGCCACTGACAGCAGAGCTTAGCAAAGCAGCAGGGCTCCCACTTCATCCACTGCCCTGCCAGCCAGGCATGCCAGCTGGCAAAGAAACTATGGGATAACCAGCCTCATACAACCAACTTGCTTAAGTCTACCTGAGAAGTTCAATTCTTACAAGCTATTCTTGAGTTCCTATACCAATTATTTAGGAACTTACACCACTTTGGAACAGCCTATATTTCCATGCTTTGCATTGCTGCATATTTTGTGATTACACATATATTTTATATCCTGTGTAAATATTTGTGATTTTGGCCCCCTTTGGACAAGTCATTATCACCTAGCCTCAGTTCCTTGGTGCATAAAAATGGAATAAACATCTATTTCACAGGTTTATTGCATGGTTGAAAAGACTAAAAATCAGAAAGCAGTGTGCAAAAAACCTATATAAATTGCAACCAAGGGAGTCAGCTCCTAGAGGCTGAAGCATTGGGGGGGCTGGGGTTTTTTTAGGGGGCCAGGCCCCCTCAATGTTCAAAGGGTCCTGCACATGACATTCTGACTTTGTGTGACGTCATGCATATTGGTCCCTTGATCCTCCAGAAAAGGTGGCACCTCTGCTAACAACAAACTGCAAAACAACACAGTAATGCTTGCTGGTTTGTCTGTCATGATTAACTGTTACTGAGTAAGGAAAAGAAAATGGTAACAATGTATTTGTTGGGACAAACCAAGATTAGAGCTTTTTATGTAGAGCTCTTTTAAGTCTGAAGTTTTACTCTGAAGTCACATCAATCAACTGCTTTGCCAACAATGCAAATATCCTCTGTACGACACAGAAGATAAAAGGTGTGTCGCGTGACTTAAAATATCTGTTAAGAATAGCGCGTTTATGTATGTAGATAGCTATCTCAGCTGTGCAGCTGTAGTTAAGTATCTGTCAGTCTATCCATTACATTTGTATATCATATGATATATGTAAATGAATATGTGCTTGTATCATAGCTATTTATGGACATATGCACAGATAGTATGGCAATGTATGCATAGATAGGCATGATATAAGCACATATTAATGCAGAGAATTTAAATATAGTTAAAAGTGCTGCGCTGAAAAATACATGCCATCTGTTTTCAATCAAAGCATCCTATTTTAGATGAACAGTGGGGTCCTGAGTTTGGATTCTTGGATTCCATCCCTGTTTCCGCAAGGGAGATACTGCGCCATGTGTGTGCCTTCCATGCCCCATGCAACTTTTTTTTCACTATTTGCACAGAATTATAGAAAAGCTAAGAGGAGCACTGAGCATAGAGGCTGTCTGGCAAATGAGAATATGGAAATTGATTTTGAACGTTCCATATTTCCATTTTAATACAAGCAGAGAAAACTTGCATGCTGGTAGACTGTAGTCAACAGAAGCAAGATAAATCTCTTGTGTTGTGTTGGAGTTTGGACTTTCCCCAGAGATGGCAGGAAAGGGAGCATGAGTGACACACATGCCACCCCCAACATATTTCTGTTTGAAGGGTGGGAGATATGTGTGTTCTTTTCCCACATTGGGGGAAGAGTCATCTTTTGCTTTCAAATCTGACTCGCAAGTGTGAAGATGGGAAAAGAGACTGCACCCAAAGACATTTGAAGCGGCACTAAGTGCGTTTGAAGATTTGGTGTCATTAAACCCACCGAACTGACAGAGGTCATCAGGCGTTGACCAAGAGTTAACACTTAGTGATATTTATTCACAGTAATGATAAATACTGGACCCAAGTAGAAATGAATTCCTTCAGAATCTCTGCTGACTCCCAAAGGAACAGAATTTCTAACATGGATAACACAGAAACCCAAAGATATCAGAGTAGGTCAGGATTAAAATGGAATCATATTTTGGAACACAGATAAGTAACTTAAGTTACATTACAATGGCTACTCTTAAACAAAACAACAGACAGTGGAGAATTCTGCCTGCACACCTAGAACAATTCCACCACTGGTCCATCCTGTGTCCTATTCTCACTAAGTTTTGGGAGAAAGTGTTTGACTGTATAAATATGACTATATGGGAAAACTTTAAAAATTCAGAGGAAAATATTATTCTGAATTATATACTGTTAAATGGAAGTTGACAACTGAAAAATGAAAATGGACGCTAGCTATGAACTCTGCAGCCAAGAGACTGGTACTGATGAACTGGAAGAACAAAATTATGGCCCTCTTTAATCAATGGATTGAAGACATGACAGCACTCACAACATATGAACAGATTGCTTGTAGATGCAGACTTACTTTGGGTAAATATATTGAAATTTGGAATGTGTTTACACAGAATATAGTAGGTTATTATTAATAATATATGCATAAGCAGTGCTTTTTTCTAAAAATGTTTAGGGGTGCTCTCATTTTCCTACTCATATTGAAATGAGGCCAAACTTAGATTCACAAAATGTTTAGGGGTATGGATACTCCTGCGTCTCTCCAGAAAAAAAGCACCTTGTATAAGCATATACAGTCAAACTTTGGTTCTTGAACGGCTCCATTTTTGAACATTTCGGTT